TCTTCAACACTGGAGGTTGTCGCTTGGCTCAAACCTGGACCTAGCTCCTCTATACCCGGGATCTAAAACCTGACATGAACCTTACATTTTTCAAAGTTCTTCAAAACAAATTAAGGAGTTATTTGTGCTGCATCAACGAGTTTAATGAACGATGAGGTAAGGCCGTGTGGGAGCAGTGTTGTTTAGGCTCAGGTTCTCTTCTTGGTTTCAGGGGGTAATTAGAGCGAATGCAGAATTTATTTGAAGTCGTTAAAATCTCTTGCACTTGTGTTTGCTGTGTTGGGCACGTCGAGCAGGAAGAGGAGATCCTCCTCTGCTACTCTTCCAGACATTTAGTATACACGCTGTATGTAAGGTAAGAGAACATGTCCGCAGCGGTATTGAGAGATATGAAAGAACTATCATTCAGCAGTGGGATTTTAATGAAGCTGCCTGTGAAAAATTGAGCATCACATTTTGTAATACTGGGACTAATGAAGTGTAAAGATCAAAGGAAATTGATTACAGATGCTTTCTGCCTTTACTAAGAGATTGGTTTGACTAGTGAGTTAGGAGTTAGTGAGCTAATGAAAGCCGTATTTCACCCTGGAAGAACATTTTCACTTATTAGCATGTGTGACGTTTTTGCAGCGAGAAAGCAAAAAAAAAAAGGAAAAAAGTTCAAGCAGAGTGAAAGAGAATTTCTGTTAATTGGGTTTTGTTAGTAATCAGTTTTGTTAGACGTGTCTGTCGAGGCGTTCGGGGCCCAGCAGTGCAATCCCCGTGCAGATTCACTGAGGACAGACATCCCTCCCCCTTACCCTCAATCTCCACACTGATTGGCTCCGAGTCAGGTGACCCTTGTTCCCCCACGGAGGGAGGGCCATCAGGACCTGTACCTCTTTCAGGGTCACCTGCCTCCTTTGGGAACGCCGCCCCATGAAAGGTTGTGCTGGCGCTTGTGGGTGTGGTCTTCCCTGTGGTTGTAACGAAGGGGAGGAAGGAGGTGGAGGAGGTGAAGGAGGAGGAGGAGGAGGAGGAGGAGGGGGGGGGGGGCAACAGAGTGAGTGATTAGTGAAATGTGAATCAGCCGGGAGAATCAAACTTCAGAGAGATGAGGGTGAGTTCCTGAGTGGGAAGAAAACTGTCACCCTGTTAACATACAGACTCAGTGATGATGGTGAGAAACATGATGAGCACACAGAGCAGAATTTAAACCAGCCATCACTTCACTTCCCCGCAGATACACACAGCGATGTCGAGGGCTGCTGTACACGCTGCTTCATACCCACACTCAGTATCTCCAGGTGAGAGTGGCATCCCAACATCTGGGAGGACAAATCCAAGTTCCTCCAGAACGTTTCTTACTACTCAGGGGCGTGTCCAGAGGGGTTGCATGGAATCTGATTGGCCACCCCATGTGCCACTCCAGAACCCCTAACTATGAATGGCTAATGACCTTATCAGAGGCGGGATCTAAACTGAAAAGAATTCTGGCTGTTTTTTAATATGCTACTTAGATCTCTCAGCTTTTAATAAATACTGTGCACATCTATTTTAAGAGACGAGTTCCTGGGAAAGGAAAGAGTCCGTAAAGATTGGCAAGCAAACTCTTGCACACCGTCTAACTTGCAGAGCACTAACTAGCAACGTTTGGGTACAGAAACATCACCAATTATTGCATTTTTGAAAAGTAGACAGTGGAAGAGTTTTCAATGCAATATTCTGAGAACTTGAATTTGTGACTTTGTACGTCTTCTTTAATTAAGCTAAGAAGATGTAGATGTTGCAAAAATGTGTTACTTACAAGTACAGGTTTATTAATGGGGAAAGAAAGGGTAAATATATATGAAACTCATTAGCCTGTGTGCACAAACTTTATCTAATCATGGAACTGCTTTTGAGCAAAGCACCATGCAGATTTGGGGTTCGTGCATAATTAAACTACATTGGAGTAAGGCTGCTCTCTTTTAATAGCAGATTCCAATCATCACTGTAGATCCGGAGTCGCCTTGCATCACTTGATGCTCTTAAATCACTCTAATCATTTAATTCTGGTTCTGCAGCTTATTGTACAGAGAACCCCACCTCCTTTTTTTAACAACTCAAACCCCAGTGAGGACTCCTCCGCGTCCACTCCGCTAAGTGTTTTCACAGATAACTTGAAATAGATACTTTCAGCTGGCGTTTTTATCGCAGCTCTTTCTTTTTTCCACTACCTCACGCGCGCGTTGATCGGTTTCACAGGAAACTTTTGTCACCTTGAGGCCCGAGCAGCGAACGTTCTGACAGCCACATTTGGAATCATTTCAAAACATATGCCCCGGAAACACGCTGGGCATTAGCACCCGCGGGGGGGGGTGTCGCATTATCAAACATTTTATCTGGATGACACACTCCTCATCTTGATTGCATTATTAGCTCTCTGTTGTCCTTGAGGTTCCGGTGAGCAGCATGTTGCTATTGGCTTTGGCTCCGGCGCTAATAAGCCAGCCATAATGTTAGCATTCTGCAGATCTCACACCCAGACATTTGGAGGAAAAAAAGGGGGGCTTTTTCTCTCTCTCTCTGTCTTTCTTACTGCGAGCCAGTTGACTGTGTTCACTCTGAATGAGGTGCCCCGTCAGTTCACCATCTGTGCCCGGCAAATTAAAACTGTACACCAGGGGGGTGTTTGGCCCTGGCAGCTCGGATGATGAGCTCCAGGACTTCATCAGTACTTCAATTTATCACGATTTTTGTTTCTCAGAGTGTTTGTAGGATCACATTGTTCCCCTTCCGCTGTTGATAGAGTACAGACAGAAAAAAAGCATTTGTCTCACAGCCTTTGCTCGTCTGGCTGCGATTGTTTGGGAAGTGGAAGAGAGAAAGCGTCCCTGCCTTTGGAGCTCCTGTGTGTGTAACAGCTTTGTTCGGCATATGGGCTGTTTTATTGTCTAGGAAAGCTGATAATTGATCTTCAGTGCAGAGACTTAAAAGGCTTTTTGTGTGAGGAAAAAAACAAACAAACACACACACACACACACACACACACACACACACACACACACACTGAAAAAAACAACAGAGACAAAATCTGACTGCGTGTTGAGAACTTCAAACAGTGCAGTGAAGCATCATGGGTGTAGAAAGAGAGCCCCTGCAGGATTAAACAGGAGCGCTGCTCATCAAGTCCCGCTACAGACTGAGGGGGTCATTCGTCCAGCAGGGAGGCTTTACGATCTACCGGGGCTCCGTGGTGCTTTGGAGGTCCAGGGCCAAAGCCTCTGGCAGACAAAGCAGCCTCTGTTCTGGGAAAGAAACGGAGGGGGATGCAGGATGGATGGCTCTGCTTAGCAGTAATGGCCGACTTTGTCCAGCATGATGGACTCAGTTCTGGTACTAATCACTGCGTCGGATCAACCGTTAGCTCCCCTGTGTCCCGATGACAAAGGGCTCCGAGAAGTCCCTTAAACTTCTCATGAAGTTAAGGAGCAGCCCTTTAGTTGTGAAGATTAAAGCAACTTTGTGATCTTCTCAAAATGACGGGTTTGGTGTTTTTTTTTAAGTATCTGAACAACCAGCTCTTCAATCTTATCTGAGCACCAGCCAGCGAGGCAGCGTTTCTATTTCTATTCCAGCCATGCCAGGGGCCGAGCAGTGAGGCCAGCGGGGGGGGGGGGTAATGGGACGTGACAGGGATGATGATCCGTCTTGATACAGGGCATTAGGCAGCATAGCCAGCGGAGCTCCTGGTCCATCAAAGGACTGATGCTTCAGACAATGGCTTCAATGTTTTAGCTGTCAGGGCCGGCTGAGAGCGAGAGGTGGCTCCGGCCATTCAGCTGCCTCAATGAGATATTCTGTAACCTCCTAGGTTGTAAAGTGCAGAAACATTTACCTTGGAGGCACATAACTGAATCAATCTCAAATCCCCTCTACAGAGCCGAGGACGTCGAGAACCAACATGTCGTTCAAATGCATTCAAGACCTTAACATGATATTTAAAATAACGTGTCACACACTGGGCAATCACTGCTAATGTTATTGTTTTACTCTTTAATAAGTGATCTGGGTCAGGTTGTTAAAAGTAATCCAAAAGCTAAAAGCTAAAAGCTATCGGCTAACAAGGCTAAGGATCAAATCTTGAAATTGGGTAATTAGAAATGAATAAAGAATTGTGTAATCAGAGGTCAGGTACACTAAATCTAGTTATCCAATCAAAACCTCCAGTTTGTGGTGTTTAAAACTTCTGAGTAGGATTAAGACTACTTTGATCCTAAGAAATCAGGAATATCCTGATCCCAGAGAGGACTGGAGTCAGAGCTGTTTAGATGTTGAGTTCAGTGGAAGACGTTTGACCTGCCTTGTGGGCCTAGTTTAATTATGGTGCTGACTAGCGACTAGTGAGGGTGCTGAGTTTAACAGCTGAGCTGGCTACATTAAAGGTGACATATCCTCCTCCTCTTCAACCAGTGTAAATAAGTCTCAGAGCTCCTCAAAACATGTGTGTGAAGATTCCACTCTGATCCTGTATTTGATCATGTCTATAAACCCCTCTATTTCAGCCCTGCTCAGAACAGGCTGTTTCTGTGTCTGTACCTTTAAATATGTAAATGAGCTGTGTCTCTCTGGAAGGGCTTGGGTGTCTCGATGTCCTAGTGTTTACGGTGAGAAGGCAGACTCAGAAGGCAGAACAAACACCTAGCTGTGGGAGTGTCACCCACCTGGGGGAGGGGCTACTGCCCTTTATGATGTCATGTAGGGAAAATCTCTAAACGGCCTGTTTGTGCACACATTTTCTGAAAAGTGGAGCAGGCAAAAGACTGAGAGGATGGACTTTTCTCATCATTGGGGGATTTGCAGACAGACTAGGGACACATATTAGAGCTAGAGAAACATCGGGAAGTAGATTTTTATATAATATATGACCTTTAAATCTCATCCTCTAGTCAACAGGAATCTTGCTCAACATGAACACAAAGCAAACACTTTAAGATGAACGTGTTCTGTTAATTAATCCCGGGTTCCCTCACTGGTCAGTTTGCTCTCGTTAAGTGGTGACTGGCTTCATTCTCAAAGGGCTGATAGATTAAAACAAAAAGATAAAGACACGTCCACTGACCATACGCTGAATCTAGCGGCGTGTTCTGCCTTCGGGTGGTCGCCAGCACATCTGGAGAAAAACAAAGCGAACACAAAAAACAAGAGCTATGAAAACCCACTTTCTCTGACATGAAGACACTCCTATGAGCGAAAGCTTAATGAGCATAGAAAGATTGAGAGCAGTATTTCAGCAGGGAGTGGACGGCGGCAGACAAACTGAACGCTGCCCTCGCCGAAATAAATACATCGTAATGTTCCAGATGTGCCATCATTCGCTCTAACATTAAGATCCGATAACAGCCAATAGATTGTTTTTTTCTTCTACATTTCTTTATTGCTTATGCAAATGAGTGAGAATAAATAAATATTTCCATCTCACCGTGGCAGGTATCAGGGTGCTGATGATAACCGTTCTCCACATCCTGTTCAAACCCGCCTCTGAGGAGAAGCACACACACAAAGACAAACATCAGTACATTTGCATCCATCATTTCCGCGACTGTTTATTTCTAATGAAGCACCTCATCCAGTCTGCCCTGAATTGCTTTAGTAGATGAGGCCCTGCTCGGAGACGGGGAAGGTAAAAGTGTGGCGACAAAATGTAATTTGTTTAGTGTCTGCCCGAGGTCAGAGCGTCTGTGTCCCGCATTTTTTGTTGCCAAACTGGACCTGTGAGATGAAAAAAACCCGCCCTTAAATCTTCTCTCAAGGTTGTATATCATCAGTTTAGCGGCGTTCAGCAGATTCCTGGAGTTAGTTTGTGATGGGACGTTGTGTGTCCTCACATCCCCCTCATCCTGCCTCCTATTCTACCTCCCCTTTCTCTCTCTCTCTTTCTGCACCCCGGCTGTAATTCAGGCGACTGTTGGTCAAATTGGCACCTTGAGTTTGTCTGATGTGCATCGAACGCCTCGCTGTAAGAATAGTCCGAAGGAGAGTCGGAGGAATCAACGACCAAACCTGTTATTTACCACCTGCAGAGCTAATGGCATGGGAAATACACCCATCAGACATCTATGAGGACAGATTCACTAGAAAACTGGAGAGTGCTGGATTAAAAAATGATTCATGCCTCTTGTTACAGCTTGATTACTGTAATGAACTTTTTTTAAGGTTTGAAGCAAAAAAAAGAGACCTCAGCTCGTTAAAAAGGAGAGCATTAGTCAACTATTAACTGCTCCGCTCTGAATTCATGTTACATTTAGAATCATTTTAAGGCCCTGCTGCTTAAATACCAAACTGTAAAAAAACAAGATATAGTGCTAACTCTCATTTGCTCTCTTTACTGATGAGAAAAACATTTTTCTTATCGGTTGCTTTTTTGGTTTTTCAGAAACAGCTGACAGAAAATTGAAGATTTATTTGTTACACCCAAAGCAAAATAACGCAGTGAAGGTTGACCTTAGGGAAAGGTCCAATCAGTGAGCTGTGTAGTGAGTGAAATGATAAAGTGACCTTACTATATGATCAGACATTAAGGAAACATGATATGTTGAAGTGCTGGCTTCTCTGACAACAATGCAGCAGCCAGTATGTCCTCCTTCTAACTTTAGATTCTGGTCTTGAATGCTCTGGATTTGTTTGGACCAGAGAAGGTAGGTGGTTTTAAGGCACCCCCCCACGCGGCCGTTTTGGACACCCCTCGTTTTGCCAGATATGAGAGCAGTTATCAGGTCAAACCAACAGGTGTTGCAGCGATGGAAGTGGGCAAGAGAAGTGATTCAGATAAAAGTGATTGTACCCGACCTAAAAAGCCTCTGCATGTTTCTAATAAGCTCCACGAGCAGAAACGTGCTCAAACTAGGATCAATATTGGAGATGCTTTTGAAAAATGGAGAGAGGTTAGAACACAGAAAGGTTTACAGACCGATGCAGAGCTGGCTAAACACTGAAGCTTCAGTGTCCACCACATGACAACCTGTGTGAGCATCGACTCTAGAGAGGAGGGGGCGGGGGGAGACAGCTCTCTACAATGTTTAGAATTTTGACTGCAGTACCCACTTTAAACACTAGGTGACAGAGATAGATATTGCTCCTTTAAAGCTGTAGTTCTTACAAGAACGATTCTGTACAGATAACGTTGTTATATTAATTAGTTAGTTCGTTATATTTTATTATTTTATATTAGTAAAAAAGATGAGGTTTGCAGATTAAAGTTGATGTTAAGTGGACAACACTGAAAGGTGCAGCAATCGACCAGTTTCACTATTAAGCGCTTCTGAGCTGGTGGGGGGGTTCAGTGCCTTGCTCAAGGGCACCTCAGCAGTGCTCAGAAAGTGAACTGGCACCTCTTCAGCTACCAGACCAATTTTTACAACTGAATTGGTGACCCTCTAGTTCCCAACCCAAGTCTCTGCAGACTGGGCTACTGCCTCCTCAAAACCAAAGACGTTAAAAATTTTCGGCATCGCCCTGAACTCTTGGCGCCAGCTGTTTTATTTCTGTCACTACGACGACCATGGTATCTCAACAATCACAGACAGTTACAATGATTTGACGTACACTTTGGATGGTTGCCCTGTCTCGCTCATCTTTGTGAATTCATCACACTGACAGACTTTGGCACATTTGAGGAGCACAGAAAGATCAGGTCAATCATGTTGGAGAGAAGAAAACAAAAACTTCTCCACAGAGTAAATCCTGCCGTTTAAAACTTGCTCATTTGCAACCCAAGTCGCCGGCATACCCCGTTGAAGCGCTCTTCCAAACCAACAAGAAAGAAACCCAATCTGACAAATATTGATTTTCTGCTGCTCTGAAGAAAATGTGCCTACGATTGATACACTGTTCTCCCGCCAATAGACACTCCATCTTTCACCTTGGAGTCAATCAGAAATCAGAGTCTCATCCAGCAGCACCCGATCGAACGGCTGAGTAATGAGATTGAGCCGACGCACGGTGGAGCGGAAACCTTTTCTAACCGAGCCGAGCTTCACATCGACGCCAACAGTCAGCCCACACTTAAAAAAAAAAACTTAGTGAGCTAAAACAGACCCGGGCTCGTGTAGCTCACAAAAAATACCAGCGTAACGATCCAGTGTGCACACAGAAACACTTTGAGCAGGCATACACGCCTACTCCATCACAAACAAATTAGTTCCTTATATAACCTAAACACATACCTACAGCTCACACGCACTGTAAGCACACGGTCTTCCAGCAAACATCTTTAATTAGCAACAAAAAGAAACTTCTCACGTCCCACACAGACGCGAGGAAAACACACCATCAATAACATTCATTTTTAGATTCCTCTATAGACATGGAAACACAAACATACTTTTAAGCTTCTGAGTGAAAACAGAGACGCTAAAATTGGCCGGTGAGGAGCCAAAAAAACAGATCACAGCTCTCCGCTCAGCTCTCGGTATCTTCAGTGTTCGTCTGCTGTCATCTCGGAGCTTTCTAGTCGTGTGTTTGTGAAACCTGCAGCGAGGAAGCTTGGTAGAGCACAAACACGCAGCAGGTGAACTCATGACTTCCTGTCTAACTGTAAACCTCTAATATCTCGTGTACCGTACGGTCCTTTGTGTTTCAAAGGAAAGTGGAGCAGATGATCAAATACAAACACACCAAGCCGGCATTGTCGATGCTGCGATGAAGGAAGGAATACATTAAAACTATTTTATATACATATCTCTTTGGAGGATGTATTTTATAGTTTAATGGTAAAATAAGTGACATTTTAAATATTAAAGGGACAGTACAGGATAAATGTGTTTCTTTAGGTGCAGGAACCGAGCAACTTGTTTCCACAAGTGGTTCTTAGGGGCGCTACAAGTCGTTGTCAGAGAAGCCAGCACTTCAACATAGCATGTTTCCTTAATGTCTGATCATATAGTAAGGTCACTTTATCATTTCACTCACTACACATCTCACTGATTGGTCCTTTAAGTTCGAACCTAACTCAGTTCAACATCTGGTTTGGTGTGGACACACAGAGCTTCTGCAACAGGCCACTGGTGTAGAAACGGTTCAGACAATCACCAGTGATGGATATACTTCTGATTACTATTACAGCAAAAAATTACCTGATTAGAAATGTTAAAGATGCTTAAAATGTTTTAAAATCAAATCTCAGGAGAGTTCAGCAGAGATGGAGAAGAAGGTTGCCGTATTGAAAAAGACACGGCATGACAGCTTGACAATGCAGCACACTCCTCTGCTTCTTCTGCTGTACTCGGCTCCACTTCACCAGAAAAAAAACCCCACTAAACTATAAAAATTTAAAGTTTCAGGGTGTCAGTACCGAAAAGCCTCACATTTAATGGAAAGCAGGCTCTGCGTCAGCACGGAGATCGATAAATAAAACACGCCACAGAGTCAGACTGGATTCATCCAGAAAGAAACAGAGCAGCGAGGAATGATTGTTATGATCATAATTTTTAATACATGTTTTATTTTACCTACACGTGTTGGTAATGTGTGTGACAGGTGTTACCTTATTACCTGGCTCTGGCTCGAGTGATATTTTTCAGTTTCTTTGTACTGTATTTCAGTCCAGCTCTGGATTTTCAGGGTTATTGTGTTTTATTATTATTCACGTTGTTACCTGTTTGTATGTTTAATTATTGAAAGGCTCTACAGGGTCACGTCTGATCCATTTCACATCCTCTCTTTACACGTCATCACCTCTCCTGTACTGTGGTCAGGGTATATTTAACAATAACGAGTTAAAAAAGGAAAACAGCGATGAAATGTTGTAAAGCATCAGAGCTGTTGGAGAATGAGTGAGGATATGATCCAAGATTGATTTTATGTCCTTTAAAGTTTCTAATATATCAGACTTTTATTATCAGAAGTTTTGTTTAAAGGTCACATATCCTCCTTTTCTTCAATCAGTGTAAGTCTCAGAGCTCCTCAAAACATGTGTGTGAAGTTCCTTGTTCTAAATCCACTCTGATCCTGTATTATTATTATAATATAAATATTATTATTATATTATATATTATTATATTTTTTAAAGATTTATTTTTAGGCTTTTTGTACCTTTAATTGAGAGATAGGACAGTGGATAGAGTCGGAAATCAGGGAGAAAGAGAGAGTAGGGAATGACATGCGGGAAAGGAGCCACAGGCCGGATTAGAACCTGGGCCGCCCGCTTGGAAGACTACAGCCTCCATACATGGGGCGTGCGCACTAACCACTGCACCACTGCACCACCAGCGCCCCTGATCCTGTTTTTGATCATGCCTATAAACCCCTCTATTTCAGCCCTGCTCAGAACAGGTTGTTTCTGTGTCTGTACCTTTAAATATGTAAATGAGCTGTGTCTGACCACGCCCCCTCTCTGGAAGGGCTTGGGTGTCTCTGTGCTTTCTCGCTCCATGTCCTATTGTTTACGGTGAGAAGGCAGACTCAGAGTGCAGAACAGTCACCCACCTGGGGGAGGGGTTACTGCCCTTTGTGATGTCATGAAGGGAAAATCTCCAAACGGC